GTTCGGCCCCCCCCCCCCCCCCCCAATTGCTAGGCCCTAAGATTTGAACATACAGTTTTTAAAATCTCTTGTGAGGGGCAGTTTTCGTTGTTTGCCTTTCACATATAAATTATTCTCCTTTTTTCTGTTTCTTTAGGTGTATATTGCTTTTTTACTATCAATAAAGAAAGTGACAAACAGTAATGATGTATCACTTTTGAAGGGTTGGTATGATGATCAAGGTGTCCAGCTCTCTTTACCCTGCCAGACAATAACGCAACCCTTTCAAAGGGATTTCTTTTTGGGCAATTCTAAGGATATTGTAATCTTTCAGTACTTGCATCTTGTTCTTGATGCACATAGGCTCAAGCATGCTGTGAAAGTATCAGATAATTGTTCATGGAGAGAGCATTGATCCAATGAAGAGTCGTTGATGAAGCCATCAGCATCACTGCGCGATTCCCAAGCGTAAAGACATCAATTTTCAATGAAAGGAAGACATTGAGAAGACTCATAGTATCAAAGTTAAAAAGCAAACAATGTTGCTGGTTTCTTTTTGTTATTCTAGGTATTAAAGTAGACTCTTTGTGAAGAAAAAGGTGTGACTAATGCTCATAATTTAGAGAAAGAGGGAGATTTGATGCTTTTCTTGAGGCTTTTGGAGTATATTCTCAACTTCTCATGGAACCAATTGGTTTGCAACATGTTAAAGTGGACACTGTCAAGGACCACTATCTTATCAATCTTATCAGTTATAGTATTTAATTTGAATTTAATATATAAATAAATTAAATTTACATGTATTTCAACAATTTTGTTTTTTATATTACTCTTATTATCCTCATTTTATTTTTAAAAGGTTTTTAAAAAAAATTGGACAAATGGGTATTTTAAAAAAGAAAGTCTTAATATTAAATTTTTATTCTTTGAAATTATAAATAAGAGGGGTTGATCTCTAATTTATTTTTATAATATTTTCGGAAATTAAATTTCATTTTTTATTTAATTTTTAACTCTCTAAATTGAATTGAATTTAAAAAATCCTCAATATTCTGTATAAATTTCTTCTCACGATTGTTTTTGTACGCGTAAGAACTGATGCCTTTCAGCCGAAGGAAAGCCCGCTCTCAAAGAAATGCTGAAGAACTTTCACTTTTGTCCCCTACATAAAAGTTTTCATTGAAAGCCCTCGACCACATTTAATATTCTAGTATTAAATTCAATTCTATGCCTTATTTAAATTTAATTAATAATTTATTATATTTTATGTTTAAAATAAAATATTAAACTATATAATTAAATTTTATTATTTTATTTGAAATTTCAGTAAAAATAAATTCATTAAACACAACCAAATAAATTATTTATATTGCAATATTAAATGTCTTGATTTGCTTTTATCTCTCAATTATTCTAATATTATTTTTGTTTTTAAAAAATGTTATAAAGCTAAAATAGGTTTTTTGATGTGTTTTTCTTTTTGTTTTTTAATTGAAATTGACTTTTTTTTCATCTATTTTTTTCTTATATTGTAAAAAAATAAAGTTTTAAAAAAAAATTATTTATTAAAATTTAAAAAGTCTATGGACATATTCGCAGGTTTTACTGGTGGATATGGTTTGCAGATTTAACGAGTTCAACTTTTTTTTTTTAATTATTTTTTTCAATATCTTAGTATTTGGTTGATATTTGATTTTACGAACATTTATTTTTATTATTATATAAATAAATAAAAATAGTTTTAAAAAATATATAATCCCATAAGAATTCATAACCCAGTTCAGAGGTTTGTTGTACTAGTCCAGGTTATCCGATTCATAAGTTAGACAAGTTCATCTACTAGTCAAATCTGTTGTTTTTGTTTTTTTATCCTTTAATTGTTTTTATTTTTTCTCTTAGTTTTATCCTTTAATATTTAAATGATTAAGAAATAAATTGCATGATTTATTTTTATTTTTTGTATTCTATAAGATTATTATTGTCTCAAATAAGTTTTTATTTTTAGATTAGTACTCAATTTTCTGAACATATATTTTTTATTATATAATTAAAAAATAATTTTTAAAAATATTATTAAATTTAATAGAGTCCATGAAATAAGTTATTGGGTGACTAAAATTGATTCAATTTATCATTGTTATAATAATTTTTTTAAAATTATTATTTTGAAGTTTTTTTTTTAAATTCAAGTAATGTTTTTTTCTAAGATTACGTTTTAAATCCATGAAATTAATCAATTTAATTTGAATTAACTTTAAAAACAAAAAAAAAATAATTTTAATATTAACCCATTAAACCATATTTAATTACACAATCAAGGAATTTTCTCACTCTTTTTTTTTTAAAAAAAAATTAGGCTGACGTGCTAGTGCGTATACTAAATAAATTCTGTCTCCTGTGACACGTGGAATCGTCATGTGCGATATCTTACGTGGAATCTCAGTCTCTTAAGTGAGTGTTTTAGTTAGGTTTTATTTTACTATACTATATGCCTCGCAATACGTGAACAAAGCTCTTCTCTTTATAAAACGCCAGGTGTACACGGTCCCTGCAAAAGCAAAAACACAAACTTCTCACCCGCTTTAAAGCCTCCCCCCTTCCAAACTTTCTTTAGGCAAACCTGAAAACGAGTCCCCTTACTATGGATCTTGTCCCCAATGATCCTCCAATTAATGTTTTTTCTCAATTAAGTCCCCAAAGACTAAAGAATTCTCTATTAAATCTTCATCTAAAAATATTCATCTATTTTTAAAATAAGAAAGTCAAGTCCCCTGTAAAATAACAAGAACTTGATATTTATTAATATTATTGTATTTTTTTATGCAAAATTATTTATTTAAACAATTAAAAACTCTTGTATCTATTAAATCTTTTACGAATACTTGACTCCCGCGTCAAACTATAATACACCCTACCTTTCCATTAAACGATAACTTAACTTGGTTTTTTACATCAAACTATCATTCATTTTAGTTAACAAGAATTAAATAATTATTCAATTATGTAAACCTTATTCACAAAAAAAGAAAAGAAATTAAGTTGTTGTGAAATAATAATACCAATTTTATTAGAACTTGATAATTATTAATAACACATAGGACTACATAAATCTCTTCTCTTTTCTTGTCATTATTCTCATTTATTATTTTTTGAAATCCAATATATAAGTGTTATGAGAATCAAAAACATGGTTGAAGTTCAATTGAGGATCTCTAAGATTCTTGAGATAATGAATTGTTTGGAGACCAATAGAGGCAAAGTGTATAGTTGGGGGACCGTTCGGACATTTGCCCACTCTCTCCCTCACTCTCAAAAAATACAAGACACTACGGAGAAACACACACGGAGAGTATAAAATTAAATTCGTCTCCCACTAAATTCCGCGAAATGAACACCCAAACCATATCCGGCAAAAAAATGGAAACAGCGAGATCCGATTCCAAGCCGAAAACCCAAGTCCCACGATCCTCTTCTTCAAACTCCGAATCACAATCCCACTCTCCTCGCCATTTCCAATCCCCTCTCCGATCCGACCATGGCGATCCTCTCGAAAGCCCTCCCTACGCCTCTCCCTTTACTTCCCCTGAAAAATCACTGTCTCCGGTCCAAAACTCCATGGCCGTCGTTGCCGCTGACATCCACAAGTCTACTCAGGACCCCCCCGAACGTTCCTCTTTCCCGCCGGATAACCTCTCTGCGCCTCCTGAGCTGGTGCTGAACAAGGTGGCGAGGGAGAGAGTGGCAGATGGGGTGATGAGGAAGGTGGGGACGGCGTCGGTGGTGAGGAGGTCGAGGAAAGAAGAGAAGATGAGGACTGGTGAATTAGGGTTTAGGGTTAGTGAGATTATCATGTGTTTGATATCTTTTGCTGTTATGGCTGCTGATAAGACTCAGGGATGGAGTGGTGATTCCTTTTATAGATATATAGAGTACAGGTAGGCAGTGATGATTAATTGCTAGTTTTTAATGTTTGTGTTATTTATTTTATTTAAAAAATAATAATTAATGCAGGTATTGTTTGGCCGTGAATGTGATTGGGTTTGCGTATGCTGGATTTCAAGCTTATGATTTAAGCTATCAGTTAGCCACCGGGAAACATGTGATTCGACACCATCTTCGGCTTCATTTTAATTTCTTCATGGATCAGGTAATTGATTTATGTTTAATTATTATCTGTTTATACTAACTGTGTTGTGCTAGTCACTGCCGGTAGCATTTCATCTCAAGGCTTAATTACATTTGGTGATTATCTGGTTCCTGGAAGAGAGTGGATTAATTTGGCTGATGATGCTATCAAGAATCTGTTAGTGTCAATTTTTTAGTGCGCAATCATAGTCCATGTATTTTCAGCTTGTGAACACAATTTCAAGGCATGAATCCTTAGAGCAACCACATGTAGGACTGCTTCCGGGTTTCTTTTCCTGGGGACCATTATTGTGAATGTTAGTTTGTCTCTCCACAACTCGCATGGTGGGTTCACCTGAATAGTCTTTGTGCATGATTTGTAGCAGCAGAGTTCTCAACATATTTCCTTTGTCAAATAACCTTGTGTTGGTCACAGGAATTGAAGTAGAATGGTGAGTCGGGGCTATTCAGGAAACTGAGTGTGACCTTCTTTGATCTCCCCAATCAAGATTGAATCTGCCCGTCGTAATTCATTTAAAGTCTAAGTTTCCTGGGTTTCCATGGCTTCTAGTTGACAGGAGATCCATTTTACTTTTACCACTACCGATTTCACGAACATCAAGCCTCAAATGACTCGTATGGTTTCAGCTAATTTGGGAGGCCTAAATTAACAGTGTAGATGT